GTAGTAGGTTTGCCCTTATTGGAACTTGTTGGGCAAAGGCTGTATGGCTGTCTGTCAGGCATGACAAGGATCCCCGAAATAAGAGGGTATTCTAGTTTGGGTATGAGTTGGCCTTAATAGCTTCTGAGGTCTCTTCTGAGGCTGAGATTCTGTGATCCTGTGATTCTGTGAGTGTTTCAGGGAAGGTAGTGGTATCTGAACTAAACCCTGAAAGAAGACAACTATTCTAAGACATAAGAGGTACTATCCCAAATCTTGAAAGGCGGCCAAGGTGGATTATTCATATTACAGGTTTATGAGCTTGACTTTGATTCTTGGCAAAATTCTAGAACATGTTATTAAAGGGATGGTTTATGAGCACTTTAAAAAGGAAGATGGTGATCACTAAGAGTCAGCATGAGCTCATCAGTAACATATCACAGGATTTAAAACTAGATGGATCCTTCTTGACACATTAATTTTATTTCCTATTTTGGCAGGATGACTAGTCTGATAGATCATGAGAATGCCAGAGTTATACCTGGATTTCAGCAAGGCATCTGACAGAGTTTAGCATGGTATCTTTGTGGACAAGATGGAGAGTTATAGGCTAGTTTGGATTACAGCTGGGTGTAACAAGTTAAATAACCAGACCCCAAAAGGAATGACTTATAGATCAATGGTAGTAACATGGAGGAATAGCTTTAGTGGAGTGCCACAGAGGTCTGTCCTTAATCCTGTTATGACAGACCTTAAATTAATTACTTGGATGAAAGAGGATAGTATCCTTATCAAATTTATGCAGTATAAATATATAGTTTTGCACTTAGCTTTTTAAAAATCATCTATGTAAATACAGAATAGTGAAGATGACTAGACAATGATTCACTTGGACTAGGTTCAGGGTCATAACTTCAATGAATCAATGTATTCAGCTGTGGGTGTCACATTTTAGGGAAGATAGTGAAAAGCTGGAGAATATTCAAAGGATGACGGCAGGGGAATGGGTGGCCTGGAGAAGAATAGACTTAGAATAGTCACACAACTTCTGTTTTTGTTTTTTTTTTTTATTTTTAACTTATAGAATAAAACAAGCATTTCCATAATATAGTATAATAAAAGGGATGACTGTACATGAAACTGCAAATCTATTATGTACAACTTGCTGTTCGTTTAAAATATATGATAAAGTTATCATGTAAATTTAATTTTTTCTTTTTTTTCTTCCCATCCCTTCTCCCACCATAGAGATGGCTACCATTAGACACAAATAGATTTGATTTTATTTTTGATGAGGAAGAGGGAGGGGCTTTGTTTTACTTGGAACCAGGGGCAGAACTAAGAACAGTGAATGGAAGCTGCAGGTAGGTGGACTCCAGGTCAATATAAAGAAACATTTCTAACTTGAGTTATTCACAAGGAGAACGGACTGTATAGGAAGGTACTGAGTTACCCCTCACACTGAGTAGACTTCAGTCAGAGGTCCTATCCCTTGTAGGGGATGATGTAGTTAGAATTTTCATTCAGTTAAGAGTTGGCTTAGAACGAATGATTAAAAAAAATTATTAAGCCCTACTATGTGTAAAGCATTTGGTAAGTGCTGGGGAAGGCAACATTTATAGGAGGTTTAAGGTGTGAATCACATGGAAAAGCCCCATAATCCTTAGGGTGCATGAGTCATATGGACAAGCCCCATGGTCCTTAGAGTGCAGCAGCCAAACAGATTGTAATTCACTTCCATGGGTAAAACAAGGTTGAACTGTTCAACAGTGCCAAGGACTTTGGCTATGAGAACTTCCTTTCCTGGGTCTTTAGTGGTTTGTTGAAGAGTTGGGGGATGCATCATCTGTAGAAGCAGCTACCAGAGAACAGCTCCTCAACTGTTGCTTCCTGAGGGGTGTTTTGGAGCCAACTCTCAACTGTTAAACTTTCAGTGTGAGCATTTACGCCTCAGAAACACAAGTTTGATTTATTACTTTGTTGATTGTCTTCTCTAGACTTGAAAGTGTTAATAATGCAGATTAAATTTAAAAGTATATATGCATACATATTCCTATCCCCATCTTCTTCCTTAACCCCCTTGTTAAACATGTATCAGCACAACTCTGTATTGCCTATAAACATTGCAAAAGAAGACTCAGGGAATGGAGTCATTACCAGCCTGGAAGTCTGGTGGTTGTATAATAACAATAATGATGATGATAATAATATCATCACAATAAGATGATTATAATAATAATGATGATAATGCTAATAATTGGCATTTATATAATGCTTCAAGGTTTGTGAAGTATTTTACATCCATTATCTCGTTTGTACCTTACAACACCCCTGGTTATCTCCAGGCCATTTCCAAGCCAAGCTGTTCTCCAGTCACTGTGCTTAATTAACCCCCTCATCATCCCACCAAACCTTGGACTTAGACTCTGGGACCATCTTAGCTCTCACTTTATTTTGCCCAGAACCAAGCCGCCACCTCATTACCTGGCCATTTTGGGTGAGCTAGATTGTAAGTTCCTTGAGGACGAATATGGTACTCTTTTCTTGTACTTAGCACTTAGCACTTAGTATAGTTTCTCACCCATAAGAAGCATCTAATAAATGCCTTACCATTGATTAATTAATTCATTCATTCCCTGGGATCATCATGATGGGGCTGAGGTGGAAATAGGGGCAGTGACCCACGGATTTGGGAGATCAGTTGTTATTCCCTGTACTTTTGGGCTTATCTGCCTGACTAAGCTAGTCCTTCAATGGTTTGGTGGTGGTAGTGGTAGGGAGGATGTTGTACCTCCAGATGCTCACCTTTAGCTGAGTTTCCCAATTTGAAGTTTCAGTGATTTCATATTCAGATAACTGTAGTACACTGGGGAACAAAAAAACAACAAAAACATTGGAGTATATGTAAGTGAAGGGACCTTGATTCTAGCCTTACCTTTGCCACAACTAACATCGTGACCTCGGACAAATTTCTTCTCTTTAATTCTTAGTTCCCTCATCTGTAATGTGAGAGGATTGAATTATATGGAATTTAAATCCCTTCCAATTCTAAAATTGATGACTATGACCTCAAGTTTCTAATGTAGGCATATGTAGTCAGGAATTTTTCACAGTTAATTAAATTGCACTTAATAACTATTTGCTGGGCAAAAAAAAAAAATAACTTATTGCTGGGACAGTTAGGTGACTCAGTGGATAGAGTGACCAGCCTAAAGTCAGAAAGACTCATCTTCATTAATTCAAATCTGGCCTCAGGCGCTTACTAGCTAGCTGTGTGACCCTGGCCAAGTCACTTAACCTTGTTTGCCTCAGTTCTTCATTTGTAAAACAAACCGGAGAAGAAAATGGCAAACTACTCCAGTATCTTTGCCAAGAAAACCCCAAAAGAGATCACAAAGAGTCAGATACAACTGAAATGACTCAACAAAAAACATGCAAACAACTATGTACAAACAAGCTTTATAGAGGATTAATTAGAATAGAAAGAAGGCACAACGTGAAGGTGGGTCTGAGAAGGTTTCTCATAGAAGAGGGAGTTTTAGTGGGACATGAAGGAAGCCAGGAAGCCCAGAGGCAGAGAAGAGGAGGGACAGAATTCCAGGTATGGAGACAGACATTGAAAATGCTGAGAGACAGGAGATAGGAGTATCTTGTGGGAGGAACTGCAAGGAGGCCAGTATCACTGGTTCCCAGAGAATGAATGTGGGAGTGAAAAGTGTAAGAAAAATGGAAAGGTGTGTTTGTGTGTTAGGCAGTTCAGGTTATGAAGGGCTTTGAACGTCAAACAGAAATTTTGTATTTCATCCTGGAGGTGATAGGGTGCTACGGGATTTTATTGAGTAGGGGAGTGACATGGTCAGACCTGAGTTTTAGGAAGATTACTCTGGGAGTAAAGTGGAGGATGGACTGGAGTGGAGAGAGATCTGGCAGGGAGACCAACCAGCAGGCTAAGCATGAGCTAATGAGGGCCTTCAGCAGGGTTGCAGCAGTGTCAGAAGAGAGAAGGGGGCTGGAAGAGATCTTAAAGACCCTTTACTCCAACCTCCTTATTTTTACTGAGTCTGTGAGGTGGTGCAGTGGATAGAGCCCTGGACCTGGCATCAGGAAGACCCGAGTTCAAATATGACCTCAGAGACCTACTGATTGCGTGACCCGGGGCAAGTCACTTAACCTCTGTTGGCCTCAGTTTCCTCATCTGTAAAATGGAAGGAAATAATAGCACCTCCCTCTCATAGGGCTTTTATGAGAATCAAGTGAGATAATAAACGTAAAGCTACTTTTATATACTAGGCACTCTATAAATGTTAGTTATTGTTATTAGCAATCCTGGGATCTTAGGGACCATTTACTTTAACCTTCTCACTTTTACTGGGGCTGCTAGGTGGAGCAGTGGATAGCGCCCTGAGCCTTCAGTCAGGGAGACCCGAGTTCAGATGTAACTTCAAATGATTTCTGGCCCTGAGACCCTGGCACATTCTTAATCTGTTTTTCCTGTTATCCTCATCTGTAAAATGGGGAAATTAATAGCATCTATCCACTCACAGGGCTGTTGTGAGTACCCAGTGACATATTGTCTGTAAGGCTACTCTGCTATTGTTATTATTGGGACCTTAGAAGCTATCCACCGCATTTTACTGATGTGGAAACTGAGGCCAAGAGAGGTTAAAGAGCCTTGCCTACGGTCACCCATGCCAGAGCTGGGATTTGAGTTCAGGTCTTCTGACTCCCAATCACTGCCCGCGCGATCCGCTCCACTCTAACTTGGGGGGCTGGGGGGAAGGGTGAGTGCACCGCACAATTCACTGCTTCTTCCGCGTCTCCGCCCGCCCCAGACCCCACGCGGGGAGAAGGCTCCCATAGCGTCCCCTCCTTCCCCTCCCCCTCCGGGTGCGCCTCCCGGGGCGGCTCCGAGCGCCCTGCCCTCCCCGGCTGGGAGCACCGCCCCCTAGCGGAGTCTCCTGGGAGGGGCCGCCCCCGCCGGCGGGCCGCGCGACTTCAAGTTCATTCCCGAGCCGGCTGCGGCGAGCGGGGCTGGAGGAGCGCAGGCTGCTGCGTCCGTCCGCTTCGGTCCTCCCGGTCCTCTCTGAAGTCCCACGCGGCCTCGCCTCCTCGTCATCCCCCGGGAACCATGTCCAGGCTCAGTTGGGGCTACTGCGAGCACAACGGTGAGGGAAAGGAGTTGGGGAGCTTGGGGGAAGCCGAGGCCGGGCGGGGGTTTCCAGCTCTGCGGGGCGCGCGGCTCACGCTGCTCCTAGTGCCTGGGACGCGCAGCTGGGGTCCGCGGGGGTGGCTGGGCAGGGCGCAGCCCCGCTGCTTCTGTGCAGTTGGAGGAAACTTTCTGGTTCCTCCTTAGTCGGTTTGCAAAACCCCAGCCGGGGAAGGGCTGGTGGGGTCTGTGACGTGTTGCCCTGGAAAGCATTAATTTTTTTTTGGCGAGAGTTGGTATGTGTCATCATTGTCATGGTTACAAAAACCCATCACTAAATAATTTCCTGAAATGCTTGCTAACCTTTGCTTTGTAGTAACTGCTTAACTAAAGTCAGAAGTATTAATCGGATCAACTCAAACAACAATGTATTTTTTTTCTTAATGAATCGAGGCGTGCCATGTGCCAGACGCTTCTCAGCGCTGGGTCGGACGTAACGTGTCCAGACCATTGCAACATGCAGGGGTTTAAGGGGCTCTTTTTTCGGGGCCCCCGGGGGGCAGCTGGGGCTGCACAGGAGCCAGGCACACGGCAGTCTGGCTAACGGTTATGCCCCATGTCCTAGGTATGCGATTCTTCTGTGAATTGTGGCTACTTTGGTGCTATTTCTTAACCCTCCCTACCCCCTATCGAGATTAAGAATTACTATTTGTAAAACTACTGAAAGCATAGATTTCATGGATTGAAACAACTCCAACAATAATGTGCATGTTTGTTCATGTAGATCCTAAACTTGATAGAGTATAACAATAATTCTAGTTTTTCTGCTTTAAATGCCAGTAAGTACTAATCATCACTCAATGAATTCAAGTTGTGGATGACTGTCAATTAGGTCACTATATAATGAACCAAGTATTGGTTATGTTGTAATGTATATTTTTATGTAAGATTTGTATATTTTGTGTAAATATATTTCTATATTTTTAATTTTTACCAAAGATAAAACTATAAAACAAAATTCAGTTTTCTGTGTTGTGCTGTGTGTTGTGTGGTAAACAGTAAACAAACTGTAGAATGCACCCTAGGAAAGATGGAAAGATGGAAAGATGGATTTCTTTTCTAATTAGTGTTATACTCCGGCTTCATGGAGTTTATAATGAATGTGCTAGTTAAGTTAATGGCAGCAGGTGAAATTTAGAAGTATAATTAATGAATGCTATTCTTTTAGAGAATTTCTTCCTAGCTGAGGTCTTAATTACAATTTTATATTTGGCTAATTTCACCTCCTACTTTGAAAGAGAAAAATGCATTTCTCTTCATTTCCTTCTCAGCTGGAGTCATTATTGTTAAGTATTTGTTACTAGATGCCAGCAGTGTGCATATTGCTCAGAAGGGAGTAAAAAAAAAATCCCTGCTCAGTAGGGGTATTGAATGGAAATGTATGTCTTCCAGAGAAGCTCATATTCATTCCTAAGCTCTTTTGTCAGGCCTAGAAAAGTTTTGAGCAAAGGAATAACTTGAATCTCTGCTTGGGACTGTAATATATATGTCTCTCTCTTCCCCTTATAAATTCATCGTGATGTTGGACAAAGTATCTGAAACTAGGCCACCCAAAGGGTATTTGATAGGCTTTATTTGTTGATTTTGGTCTTGGATATAGAGCATTCATATACCAGGAATTTAGAACTGAATTCAAATAGCATTGAGTTGCTCTAGAGAAACTATTGCATAACTCAGTTTTGAAACTGTGCGTGTCACTTTAAAATGTGTTTTAAATCACATGCTCTCAAAAAAAGAAAGTATAACTTCTTTAAGAAGCAGGTTTGCTGGTGCAGCACACTCTATACAATAGTTAGTTAATAGGTAACCTTTGGTATTTGATGCAAAGTAGCTTGTATGCCAACTTTGAGCTTCAAAGGACTTTGGATAAGGAGAGAAGTTAGTGGAGAGGGAAAAGTCTTGATGGGGAAAAAGATGCAGGATAGTAAATATATGCTATGTATATTTTCATGGTCCATCTACAACCTAATTTTCTTCCACTTAAGCCAAAGCTTGTCAACTGTTAGAACTCCAGTTTTAGAAGTTTCTGCCTCATAAAAAGAAGTACAAAAAGACTGGACTGTTACACAGTGGTATTTGATTAGAGACCTAGATGAGGGAACTAATAAGTAACTTAATCTGTCCTCTCTGAGAAGTTGAAAGCAGGTAATTGAAGGCTTTTGACAAGCAAAGCTTCTAGTTAAGTTCACTGGGTTGGATACAGAGCTGAAGTAAACTGAAAAGCCTTTTAACTTAAAATGGTATAGATAGCTGTATTGACCTCAGGGAAGCATTAAAAGAAAGAAAAAGTTAAAGATTCCTCATTAGTGTAAGATAAAAGAAATCATGGCGAGATTAAGCAGTATGAAAATATAGTTGAAAGTTATAAGAGTCTGTCTAGGGTGTTGGATTTTCTTTAAATCTTGCTTTAACTTATAATCCCCTTCATTCAGATATTAGTAATCATGAATTATGCTTTATTTTAATAAAGAGCTGGGTTGTTGGGTTTTTTTTTTTCCAATAGAAGAAGCATCGTTTGCATCCTAGTATGTTAAATACTCTTTAGGTACTTATCCTGACTAGGTTACGACTTAGCCACTTAGAGAAAAGAATTGAAATTAGTCACCACTATTCAACTGGTGGTTGCTATGCAAATTGGAAGCATAGTATCTAGGAGAAAATCAACAGCCTCTGAAAGCCTTTGCTTGCAAGCCCAACCCTATAAAGTGGGGTTCAACTATGCAGGTGACTGTACCTTTCCTACCGATTTTGTTGAAGAGAAGAGATAGGCTTTCAATTCATAGTAGTATGAGAAAGCAAAAATTCATAGGTTACTCATGTCACCTCTGGCCACCAGCCTTCTCTATGTTGAAATATGGGGTAGGATGTTTGTTTTACTATATGTGAAGGAGTGTCATGCTTCCTGAGCCTGTGCTCCATACTATAACATTGATGGTTTGCCAAGTTTTACTTAAGAGTTCCAAGATGAGGAAAGAGTGGCACAGATGAAGTCTATGAATTGTTGAAGGGCATCCTTGAATACTGCCCTCCTCTTCTGCCCTCTCTTTCCCAAGTCTCTGCCTCACCTTCTGTAAACCTGTGTGGGTTGCTGCCCGATACTGTTTGCAGAAGGCCAACATTCTGTTTCTGAGAGCAGAAAAGAAAGTACATCTTTTTCCAATAATGACTTTTCGGTTTTCTTTGGAAGTTAGGCTTCTTTTAAAGAACATTAGGTAAACGTGTATGACTTCCTCATATACAAAGGGAAGATATTTTAAAAGTTGTATTTGAAATTTAAATAGGGAAAACCAAAGGGTTTTATATTGATAATGAAAAAAAAGCGATAAATTACAACTAGACAGTCATCCCCTTGGGGTCAAGGATCATTTCATTCCTTTTTGTGTGTCTCTTAGCACCTAAGACATGGTAGTTCCCAAAGGAGGCCTGCATAGAATATTTATATGTGTGTGTTTGTGTGTATACATATATATATATGTGTATATATATATTGATGGTGGTTGTCCTTCGTTCTCAAAGAGGAGCAAAACGACATCACTATGCTGGAGTCAAGTTTACGGTGTGTCCGATTGTGACTGATGAGACCAATATGAGCTTGGAAGGCTCTACCACAGGTCGGGCACAAATAGTCCAAGTGAACATTTGGGGTGGATTCTTTAAATTTGTGCATCTTGTGTTTCTTTTGAGCTGTTTCAATTCTGCTTTGCTCATAGAGCACAGCACCTTCTCTGATGTGGACACGCTATTCGGGGTCAGTACTGTGCCAGTGTCTCCCATGTCACACAATCAGTTCCAAAGTTCTTAAGAGACACCTTGAGAGTGTCGTTGTATCACTTCTTCTGACCATCATGTGAATGCTTGCCCTCTGCGAGTCCTCCATAGAATAGTCTTTTTGGCAAGTGTATGTTTTGCTTTTGAACATCGTGGCCAGCCCATCGGAGTTGTGCTGTCTGCTGGAAGTTTGAATGCTTGGCAGTTCAGTTCGAGAAAGGACTTAAGTGTCTGGTATCTTACTCTACCAGGTGATCTTCAGAATCTCCCAAAGGCAATGGATGTATATGTATATATGTATATAAATATAAATGAATGAACAAACCAAGTTACTTAGTTCTTATCATCATAGGCCCTATTCATTGGAGTGAACTTTTCCCAATTGCTGATGGGGATCACCAATCTCCGATTGAGATCAATACCAAAGAAGTGAAATACGACTCATCTCTCCGGCCTCTCAGTATCAAGTATGATCCAACATCAGCTAAAATAATCAGCAATAGTGGTCATTCCTTCAGTGTGGACTTTGATGATTCAGAAGACAAATCAGGTTGGTTTGGGGAAGGGAAAATACTGTTACATTGAAATTATTTTGTTCTGGTTGTTTAGTCACGTCTGATTCTTCATGACCCCATCTGGGGTTTTCTTGGCAAAGATGCAGGAGTTGTTTGCCATTTTCTTCTTATACCGTTTTATAGGATGAGGAAACTCAGGCAAACAATGTTAAGTGACCTGTCCAGAGTCACATAGCTAGTTAGTGTTTGAGGCTGAATTTGAACTCAGATCTTTTTGACTCCAGGCCTGGTGCTCTATCCATCTAGCTAATTATTGAAATTTAAAAACCTACCATAGTTATTGGGAGGGGGGAGAAGGGGGACAATCGTATTTATATGAAGCTTTAATAGTGATCTTAATTTGTAACTATGACCGCTTAGTATTCAAGACCATGAAAGTGTTGACAGCTCAATATTACTTCATAAAACCATTATTTTTTCCTTTAAAATTCAAGTTATCTCATACTTAGAATTTTTAGAGCTGGAAAGGACCTTGGAGACATCTCTCTCACTCCACAGGTGAGGAAGCAGGCCTGGAGAGATTAAACAACTTATCCAAAGTTGCACAGCTAATAAATAGTAGGGGCAGGACTCAATCCCATCTCACTTGCAGACCAGTCAGTTTTCTTTTCACTGTGCCACCATAGCACCGTACCAGCAATTGGAACATGTCTTTTATCTGAATAGAAAGGGTTAGGATTTTAGTTTTTAAAAAGGGATATGGAACAACTTTCTATCATGTGTTGATAATAGGAACATAACTTGAAATTAAAGGTCATGTTCTGATCAGCGCTTAATTACCACAGTGCCTTATTAACAGTGAGCATTTAATAAGGATTTGTTGATGGACTGGTTAATCAGTAAAACTTCATTGTCCTAGTCAGTGCTTTAATAGATCTATGATTTTTTCAGTTTGTATGCTCCCCCCTCTGATGTAAATCAAAGTCCCTTTGCTTCTTAGTGGATGGTTTTAAGTTTCCATGGACCAAAAAAAAAAAAAATTAAAAATTTATCGCATGGTAGTGATTCTTTAATGATGATGATGTTCTCCTTGACCTGGGTAGTTCTCAGATGACAGACACAGAGTCCATCCCTGGGAGATGGAAGACTTTCCAGTTTGAAAATATGGTTTAGGAGCTCCAGTTTTGATGCTTTAGCTTAAGGTCACTTCCACATCCTTTTACAAAGCCAAATAAATATAGAATATATTACATAGTGATGTCTTCCTTTAAATGAACAGTTGTAATTTTCTCAAAAGCTTTGTGTTTTTATAATTATAAGGATTGCCAAGAAAATGGTTCATTAAAATGAGGCTATAGGTGACAGAGAAAACTGTGTAAAAATTATACCCAGAGATATTTTTTGGAGTCTCTGGTATCCTTTTTTTTTTAAATTTAGCTTTGACAAATCAAATCAAATGCCACCGTAATTGGAAATAGAAGTTTTAAAAAGATACTATTCATTGGAAGAAAGTTTTCTTATTTAGAGAAAAGTGGCTATAGTTTAGCAGTAATGTCCTAGATTTATGTATAGTTTTGCAATTAGCAAAAGTTACCTGCCCTCCAAACTTTCTTTCCCATATTTCCTAATTCACAGTGGTGATTTATTTTTTGCCAGAGCATAAATTACTTGAAAGAACACTGAACTCTTGCTATAGACTTCATTTCCATTTTTATTTTCCACCTATTTCATGCAGAATCAATCCAGTTCCTTTCTAACTTTAATCCTTAACCTTCTAAGCTAATTGGTGTGCTATGAATAACAGATATATCATAGGCACACTCCAGGGTTATGAGTAAAGGCTCTAAATACAGAGTATATATTGTTATGATTGCTATTACTGTCAGTAATAATAGTATTTAGTGTCTTTGAAAAAAATTATTTTGAGTCATTTAAAGAAGATGAGCCATCCCCTTTTAGTTTTAGGATAATAATTACTTAAGATTGTATATTAACTAAAAGTTAGTAGTTTGTTCTGTACAAACATATATTGTATTTCATTGGAGAGGGCTTGCATTATCTTCCAGAATTGGTGGGTTGTGGGCTTTATAATAGCAGTGTCAGAATCAGATAAAAGTGGATCCCTGCCTATTGCATGTTGATTAACATTATCTTTATTGTATTGTATTTGTATTTATTTTGTCAAACCTGTCTGAATTACATTTAATCTGGTTCCTGGGGCTGCAAGTTTGATAACTGTGCTTTGTAAGAAGGGAAAGCAAAAAGAACCTGGTGGCAGAATTATACAGCTCTGGGATTTTAGTTGTCTGGCTATCTTTCTCTGTGTGCCTAGGTTTATGTTCCTCTTTGGCATGTCTCATACGTTTGTCTGGGCTGTAAGCTACTTGAAGTCTGAGGGACAGAATTCACCAAAGTACTAAACGTGATTATTTCATGTCACAAGATCTACATCCATGACAAGTTTCTACAGGGCAGGGAATATTGTCATTCTAACCTTTGTATCTATCTCCCTTCCTAGCATAATTCCAAATACCTAGTAGGCACTTAATAAATGCTTGTTCACTTGAACATCTTTTTAGCCCTTTACTATTCTTTCAAGCATGACTGTGTCAGAAGTCAGGATATCCTGATAGTATTCAAGGAACCCTGACAAGCAACTGCCAACATACAAAGGGGGTTCCCCTTATCCTTGTAACTCCAGAGCTTGTGGAACTGGGACCCTGACAGGGAGGGTACCCTTTGATAGCAAGGGATAGTGTTGGACTTCTTAGATACTTATTAGTTATGTAACTCTGACCAAGCCACGTAACCTCTCCCAGCCTCAGTTTCCTCATCTGTAAAATGGATATAATAGCACCTAACTCAAAGAGTTCTGAATTGATGAGGTCACAGACAGACCAATTTGAGCACATGTGCTATCATTATTATAACTTTCCTTGGACTATTCACCAGGCCAAGTCTTCAGTGACTCCTGAGACTATAGCCTCTTTACTAGCAGGAACCTCAAGTCAAGGGGAATAAAACAATGATGATGAAAATAGCTCACTTTTATAAAACATTTTAAGGTTACAAACCCTTTTCCTTTTTTTAAAATTTCTTGTTTTGCTAATTGTATCAGGGTGGGGAACCTGTAGCCTGGAGGCCATGTGTGGCACTATAGGACCTCAAGTGCAGTTTCACAGAGTTTGGATTCTGTCAAAGGGTCAAAGGACCCAGGGGGCCCCGTATTGCCTTGAGGACCAAGTTCCCCACCCCTGGTTTAGATGTTAAAAAAGTGATGGAAAAAATGTCAGTAATGCAGAATTACACTTAGAAAGGTATCCTGTGTACATATTTTGAAGGAGAAAATTGAGTTGTTAAAAGTTTACTAGCACCCCCCTGAATGGTAGGTGTTTTTCAAATAGCAGAAGCCTGTGAAAGTTGCATCACACAGGCAAGTAAAGGACTATACAGGACAATAAAAGGGGATATAAAATTTTCATTTTTAAAAATTTTTTTAGATCTCTTCTTTTTTTTTAAATCATCAATTTATTTTTAACATTCTTTTTTAAAAATGTTGAGTTCCAGATTCCCTCCCTTCCTCCAGCCCTTTCCCAACCCACTGAAAAGGCAAGCAATATCATATCAGTATGAACCCTTTTTCAAAACAACCTTATAAGGTAGGTAGGTGGTACAGATACTATTACCCCAGTATAAAACTGGGGTAGGGAAACTGAAGCTTAGAGAAATTAAGTGACTTGTCCAGGTCATGTACCTAGTATTAGAGCTGGGACCTAAACTCAAATTATTTAACTCCCTTCTCCACCTATAAGGATCGAAGTACAGTAAACTTAGGAGGGTGAGGAAAAATTCCTGATTGATGTAATGTTTAAATTCAAGCCTCTGTCTGCAGTTAACCAGCCTTGAGAAGGGGAAGATGCAAGAGCTGTCATTTTGTTCTTCCTGACAGAGCCCAGAAGGTACAACACCAGAAAGAATAATTGGGAGTGGAAAGTAACACACATGATTCCATTGGAAGAGAGGCAAGGAAAGAAGACCAGCCTTAGCAGGTAGTGCAGTGACAGGGCCTTGACGCAGGCTGTAACATAGACAGGGTCACTGACACAGGAGGAAGCAGTGGACCACCACTGCTTTGGTCTGACTGGTGATGAGGAACCTTCGAAGGACCCGGCTAGTTCTCCACCAGCAGAATATTGAAAGGCTGGTCACTCACCCCACAAAAAGGGAAGTGGCAAGGAAGAAGCCTAAAGGGAAAATGCTGTAATTACAACCAGAAGGCGGAACAGTTCATCTGTGGGGTGGGAATGTAGTGGCTGTTTGTTGGCAGTATCCCTAATGAAGAAAACTAGGTGGTGCAGTAGATAGAGCACTGGGCCTGGAGTCAGGAAGACCTGCACTCAAATCCAGCCTCAGACACTACTAGCTGTGTGACCCAGAGCTATTTACTTCACCTTTGTTTGTCTTAATCCACTGGAAAAGGAAATGGCAAACCACTCCAGTATCGTTGTTAGAAAAAACTCCATGGACAGTATTGGTATGCTATGGTCCATGGGTCACAAAGAGTTGGACGTGGCTGAACAACAAGTTAAGAGTTGGGGTGAGAGGGAGAGGAAATCAGAAAAGATCTCATGAGCTGAGTTCTGACAGAAGCTAGAGATTTTAAGATGTGCAGGCCTGGTAGGAATTGTATTGCCCACATAGGGGACAGGCTGTGCAAAGGCACAAAGATAGGGGATGGAATGTTGTTGGATGAGAAGAGGCCATTTGACTAGATTGTAGAAAGTATAAAGAGGAGTAAAATATAAGGCTGGAAAGATGGGTTTAAGCCAGGCTGTAAAGAGTTTCTTTCCAAATGGAGGATTTTGGTTTGTGTTCCTAACTTTTAGAAAAGGATATTTACTAAGGTGATTGATACGGTAAGAACAGTTGGCACAAAACAACCCATCCCCTCCTAAAACAAAGTCTTGTGACCCATAAATACATGTAAGAGTCCAGGGGAAAGTGAGCTCTAGCTTAGTGAGTAATGGGACAAAGG